ACACGGCAGCAGCCCACAACCACAACTCTCCCGTCAAGCACCAGTCAGAAGTCAATGCAGGCTCTAAGTCGGAGATCAAGCACTTTTGATCTCTCATGCTCGCTCTCAAAACTCTCACTCTCGTACTTCCGTGGAGTCCATGCCGACTCACTGAGACCCTATGGGGCCGGGTACACCCGCCCTATGAGTTTCTGAGACTGGAACTCATTCCAGGAGTACTCTGTTTCCCCGAAAATAAGATAGTGTCTTATATTAATTTTTGCTCCCTAAAATGCACTAGATCTTGTTTTCAGGGGATGTCTTATTTTTCCATGAAGAAGAATACGGTACACATTTATTGTTTATTGTTTTATTAAAAGAGATCTCGCACTTCCTGTCTGCTCCAGCTGCGCTGCGGCCAACAGTGAGCTGTGCAGCGGCGCCCACTGCTACGGTCCAGAGTTACGGTAGCTTTGGGGGGCCTTATTTTCAGGGGATGCCTTATATTTCAGCGAGAAGCAAAATTGTAAGTAGGTCTTATTTTGGGGGGATGTCTTGCTTTGGGGAAAACAGGGTAGAAAGGCCTGTCTCCCTCAGAGAAGCCGGTGGTTTTGAACTGCTGACCTTTTGGATCACAGCCCAATGGGTGAGCACTATGCTCCCAGGGCCCCTGAGAAGCAGAAGTTGGCCTCCATCAATGCTGGGTAGTAGTAGTCCGGTGGAGCTGACAGCCACTTGCAGGGACATGGCGTCTATCCGGACTCAGTGACCCGTATGTGGCAGTGCAGAACTGGGCTCCACAGGCATTTCCAGGGCATTTTTTTCCGAAGTAGAGCACCAGGCTGCTCTTTACGGTGTCTCTGGGGGACCTCGCCCCTCCAGACGTTCAGTCCGTAGCCTGGTGCATTCCTCATTTACATCCCCGAGGGGGTTGGGAGTCAGACTACCCGCCTTCCAATCTCAGCTCTGCTTCTTCTCCACTGTGAAACCTCAAACATGTTACCTGTCCTTTCCAGGTCACTTACACACATGATGCTTAGCACCTACCTACGAAGACACAATTCTTAGCACCCAATGAGGTCAGGGTGCCTTAAAAAAAAAAAGAAAGCAAGAAAAGTCCAATCAACACAGCGTCTTCCGAGGGGATCTGCTGGGCCAGTTACATGTAACACCAGCTTGAAAGGTTACGATGGTTTTGTCTTCATCTTTTTTTTAATTCCTAAGGGGTAATCTTACTAGATTTTTCTGGAAGGGCACAGGACAAGGATGATCATGTAGCCTTATTATGAAGAAGACCATATGAGAAAACAGAAAAGTGCATTGGTGAGACACCTTCCAACCAGGGAAATACACCTGTGTATTCTTCAAGGGCAGCAACACGGGCTGTCTTATGGGAATGTTTTAGGGAGCCTTCCCTCAGTCCACCCTAGTCCTTGACTTTGCTCCTTCAGATTTCTTTTTGAGCCCCAAACTAAAAAAAAAAAATTAAAGGAAAGACTGAATCCTTCCAACGATTCCACAATTGCTGTTTGGGCATGGTATTCATGAAAAAGTGCAGACGTCTTCAGGGCAGGGTTGGAAAGGTAGAGGCACTACCTTCAGAAACATAGACTCAGGTGGAGGAGATGGTGAGATATAGTAAATTCACCGGTTGATTTTTTTTTTTTAATTTAAATACAGGCTGCTGTGATTTTACAGCAACACATTTTGGCTTACCTGAATTTGTGGCTTAACTCGGCCAGATACTTTTGCAACTTTTAAGAAAAACCTCTTTTAAAATAAATATTAACGTCCTGTTTTTCATTAGGAACTGGGCTAGTTTAAGGGACTCTGGGAGGAATACCCCGTCAGCATGGCACCATCAATGCCCTTTAAGAACTGCGAGGGAGGCGTGTGCTTTGTGGACCTTACCCTCTGGTGGAAGCAAACGCCTTTGTGCTGGGGGGTGGCTGCCCGGAGCAGTAGAGGGGCCTGGCAGCTTCCTCGTAGTTGAGGTCATCACTCGTTCCTCATCGGCTTCCTGGATTTTCTCATCTAGTGCTGGCTCCAATCTCTGTCTAGCTCCAGGGACTTGGCAGCCAGGTCTGCACACATCTCCGACCTCATCAAGCATCTGCACCAGGATGTAGTGTGCAGCAATTGCCCATATCCCTCAGGGCACCAACACACTGGGCCACCCATTATCCTGCCTCTGACCATGAATAACCACACGTCCATCACTGAACACCTCCTTTTTATAGATACGTTATCTCAGCAGAGATTCGAAACAGCTAAGAAGGGTAAATCACATAAAGAACCTGTAGCTCAGAGGCTATGTCACCACCCCTGCTCAGGCAATTAATAACCAGTACTGGAAACGCCATGGCCACTGAGGTCGATAGTTTATTGTGCCAACCTGGGTGATCAACACATGTGGGGTTAATTGAAGGGTGGAGGGATAAATGGCTCAATGAGCCTTGCCTTTCTAGTTCTCGGGTCTCTTGCTTTCTGATGGTTGGACCAGGGTGCAGCTGCCTTAGCCAGTTCCCTGCATTAGCTGGCAAGGTTCACTTCCTGCAAGACATCCCCAAGGAGAAGCCACATGGACCTACCCCGAAGCAGCCCTGGGTGCTGGAGCAGCCGCATGGAGACCCCTGCCAGCGCTGAGATGCTTACACATTCACTGATTCGGCTTTCCTCCTGCAGTCGGCATCATAGTATGTGTTTTGTGAGATGGAGGAGGACTTTGTGGATTGGTGTTGGACATATGGGTTAATGTTGGACTTGTGGGCTTGGGCAGCAGCACTGAGTTGGGATGTTTTCTTGATGCACACTTAACCTTTATACACAATTTTCTCTTGTACATGAGCTTCTGTGGATTTGTTTCTTTAAAGCACCCAGACTCACACAGCCATAGTGACTCGCCATCATTGAGACATGCCAATAGGGTTGAAGGTAGAAAGATGCCCTCAAGTAGTGACTTGAGGAAAAAACACTGAGAAGCAAAATATTAGGGTAAAAGTCAATGTAAAGTTTTCCTACCAAATATTACTTATGAGTTTAAAATATGAATGTTAACTTGAAGTAATAATGAATTCTTGATACACCAGAGTCCTGACCCACCTAGCCATAGTACGTAGGTGGAGACTCCCAGGAGCATTTTGCTGCCTGGGAATCTCCAAATTCCACTTGAGGTTCACCTCAGCTCAGGTCTGAATCCAGCCAACCATCACAGCCTGTTCTTCTTCGTCACCATGATTTGTTCTTTAGCTCAGGACCCGAGCAGATTGATCCCATAAGAACACATGGCAAGACTTGAACATGGGAAACCAAACAAAAGCTAAGCACGACTACAGAGTTGATCACAACTCCATGTGGGTCAGAGGAAAGCTGTGCTGTGCCGGGTTTTTTAATGGCTGATTTCTCACAAGTAGCTCTCTAGCTTTGCTTCCCAGGCTATTTAGGAGGCTGTTTTAGGATCACAAGGGGAGGCAACACTCCGGAAACCTTGAGACCAGCAGAGGAGACAGAGAAAGAAACCAGGGCCCTCCGTGGCATTGCTGAGACGTGTCAAGATAGGTCTGAAGGCACTTCCAGGCCTTTGGACGTTTCAGTTCTATAGGCCAGCACTCCTTCGTGGTTTGTGCCAGGTTTGAGTTGTGTTTTCCATGACTCCCCACCTGAAGAGTCCTCTTCCAGGATGCACTGAGGAAAACTACTTCGCCCACAGGTCAGCTTCCTGTCCTTGGGAGACATGTCCCCCTCAGAGAGGGCATCAATGATCAGCTCCAGCCCAGCCCAGGCAGAATTACATAGGGTCGCAAGCACAATCCCTGATATTTTAAACAGTAACCAAAGCCATTTCTTTGGGAGCCAAGGAAAGGCAACTGGAATTAAAGAAGAAAAAGCAAAAACCTTCTACATAATATCAAAAGTGTTGGCAGATCATACTCAGGCTTCAGAGAGGGTTATAATCCTTCTTTCAGTCATTATTAATAAGATCAGCCTAATAATAAAACAACGGCTGTATAATCAATCAAAAGCTTTCCAACTAATTCTTCCTGGAACCAATGTAAATGCCACCCACAGGCAGTCTTTTCTTAACCTTCTTCCCTACATACAGCCTGAAAAAACATTCGTTAAGAGCCCAGGTGGGCGGTCCGTAAAGCCGCTGCAGCGTGCTCTTACAAGAAGGATCACCATCGCTGGAATGTGGCGATATCCCCGGGCAGCGGGGCATGATCAAGCCTAATGAGTTGAGGTCTCCAAACGTGGAGAATTTCCCTCTAGTTCTCGAACCTGAAAGGTTGGCGGGCCCAGAAGTTGGAAGACCCTGCCAGGTCTGCTAGGTCATCTCCCACGTCCTATGACCTTCTAGTACATCACCTGCCTCCCTCCTCCCCTGCCACAGGTCTGGAAGTACCCACAGATGATAAGCAACCACGTAGGCCAGGGCTGCACTTGGCAACAAAGAACTGTTGCTCAGAAGCCGTGCTGAGTTGATTCTGACTCAAGCAACCCTGCCGGCAGAGTACAGCTGCACTCACAGTCTCCTTTGCCGCCATCGCCACGGAGGTAGACTGCCTGCTCTTTCCTCCTGAGGAGTCACTGGTGGGACTGAACCTCCAACCTTTCCGTTAGCAGTTGAGCACTCAACTATCACACTCCCAGGGCTCTTTGAACTCAAACCGCATCGACTGCCGTCATGTCGATCCCAACTCATAGTGACGTTAGAGAACAGAGTAGAATTGCTCCTTAGGGCCCCCCACCAAGACTGTGAATCTTTACAGGAGCAGAAAGCCTCATCTTTCTCCCTTGCACTGGCTAGTAGGTTTGAACCATTGACCTTACATTCAGCAGCTTCACCCTTAACCCACTATACCACCAGGGTTCCTTCTGTCATCCTTATTTTGGCCTCCGTAAAGACTAGGGATTCCCTTTACATATTCCTTGGAGGACTGGATTGTGAATTTTCTTTAGCACTTCATGGCCCCCGCCCCTTTAAAGAAACTGAAAGTCTAGAACAATGAAAATCCACTGACCTTGGATTTTAGAACTTGGTTCTGTGATCAGAGGGGAGACACCACTGCCTCCTTCCACGGCGTTACATAAAATGAAAAACCAGTTGCCATCAAGCCAGTTCCGACCGTGGCAACCCCCCCGAGTGTTGAGCGGCACGAAGCTCCACAGAGCCCTTCAATGGCCGCTTTTCAAGAAGTAGATCATGAGACTTTCTTCCAAGGCATTTCTGGGTGGACCGGAACCACCCATCTTTTGGTGAGCTCCTTACCATTGGCAGCAGCCAGGGACTTCCCCACACCTTGCTGCTCTTAAACCAATAGATCTGGGGGATCGCATTTCTCAAATCTTAAATAAATGATTTACAAAACCTTCAATGAGTGAAACATTTGGTCGTTAGCTATTAAACGGATTAACTTTCCTTTTGTTTACAATGTGTAAGAAGTGCTAACAAGTTAACCAAATGCACCAGTATGTTCACAGCGTTTTCCAGATCTATTTAAGGAGGTCACACTAAAGAATTTAAAGATTCAAAATGGGGTTTCTAAATTGTAGTCACCAGGCATTAATTAGACGTTAAGGGTTGGTACAAAGGGTTGCACAAATATGATCCGGGAAACCCACAGTTACACAGAAGTCATTTTCTTGAGAGCAACACATCTCAGAGCTCCCAATATTGCCATGTGAGTTGAGACACCCAAGTCCACTTATGCAAGGCCAATGCCATGGCTGCCATTTCTACCCGATTCTCTTATGCGTCCAATGTTTCACAAGCAATATACTTCCAGGTAGCCATTATGTGAAGGGTCTAAAAATAAAATGGTACACTTGTTCTGATTCTGTGCCTGAAAATGACATGGAATTCTGGACCTTTTTCCCCTCTGCTCCAGATCAGGGATCAGCAACTTTTTTCCTGGCAAGAACCATTTGGCTATTTATAGCATCATTTGTGGGCCATATTGGTCAAACATTTAACCATCGCGGCCCTAATGGGATGACTGAACCGATATCTCTTTGGTGAGGTATGCAATGTTAGTTCGTATTGATGATTTCTTGGGTCTTACAGGCTCGAGGGCTGGGCATGCCCCACTCCTGCTCGGGAGACTCCACACATTGTTAGATAAGGTGTGAACTGTTAGGCTCTATCTTTGCTTCCATCAAAGTGGAGTGAACGTGCAGATGGATACACTTGACTCTTTTTCTAGTTGGGATTACAAAGTGAAGGAGGAATATATTCTTCAGATTGATAACAAAGGTCAGGTTCATTTTCGTCTTCCACCTGAAGCCGGGTTTCTTACTTAGGATTGATTTATTTGTCTCGATTGGCTAGAGGAAGAGAGTCTTTTGCTGTCTGCACAGGCCCGTGGATTCCTGGCACCCTACATCGCCCCTGGTGTCAAGAGTGAAGGGCAACTGTGAAATTGTTGACTTCACCCTGGTGGACAAGGCTGTATTCTGAGAGAGAAAGGAATACTGAGAAGGGTGTTCTTCCAAGCACAGTGCTCTCACAGAGAGAGTGGGAGAAATGGAGGCTCGGACAAGAAAGACAAGGAGGCCATGGACAGACAGACAGAGAGCGCTGTCCCCACCAGGTGAGTGAGATCACGCACGTTTTGTGTGGTCCCTTCTGAGACAAGGCTGACTGAACACCTGAGCAAAAGGACAGTTTTATCAGGAGAAGATATTTGTCCCCCATCCTCAAAATTGTCATTCCTGTTCTAATGTCTAAAACCCATGGTTGTCATATATGGGCTGCGGAATAGTGGTTACAAGATGGGCTGCTATCCAAAAGGTCAGCAGTTCGATACCATCAGCTGCTCCCCGGGAGAAAGAAGGGGCTTTCTCCTCCAGGAAAGAGTTATGGTCTTGGAAACCCATGGGGGCAGTTCTGCACTGTTCTATGGAGGGTCGCTATGAGTCAGCAATGGCTCAATGGCTGTGTGTTTGGCTTGGTTTGGAGTTTTCAAGATTGCAAGCCAAGGGCAGGGAGGGGAAAAATCACCCCTAACTTGACAATACCCCTGACTCACACCAACCCTCGAGAAGGTCTCCAAACCCGCAAATCTTTATGAGAGCCGAAAACCTCATCTTTTTTCCCTCTGATCAGCTGGTGGGTTTTAACCACCAACCTCGCAGTAACAGACGTGTTCATTTGGGTGAAGGTAAAGGCAGTACACAACGTGGGCGTGATCACCATGGTATCACTAAAGAAAAGGAAGGCTTGGAGAGGTGTGCAAAAGTTACAGACAGAAAAGGTAAATACTGTTACTTACATGATCCTGCTTTATCAACAAGAACAAACATTCGTCTACAAGCTGATACACGGGCAAACAGGCAGGAGAACAGGTCTGAGTAGGCGAAAGGGGCCTTTACTCATGACTGTATTTAGGATCGGCAGATGTTATTTCTACAAATACATTTATTTGCATTTCTCTGTGCTGCAAATATATCCATATATGTAACAGAACAAAGAAGGGAGTAAAAGAACATCCACCTCTTAGCCATAACCAAACACCTAGATCCCTGGGCCTGAGGGCTCAGGACCCTAGTCATGGGTGACATCAAGCTCAATTGGCATAACATAGTTCATAGTGTGCTACTTCCTTCTTTTGGTGAGTAGCAGCAGGGGGGTCTCAAACGTTTTCAAGAGGCCAAGTATGATACCACAGTTGGTCTCGCCCCGTCAGGAGCAAGGGAGAGCTGAGCAACTCAAAGGCGCATGGAACCAAGCAGACCAAAAGCCTAATTAATGCTGGGCCATCGAACCTCAGCCTCTGCCAGCCTGAGGCCCGACAAACTACAAGGCACCAGGCTAGCGCTGCCAACCGCTTGGGGAGAAATCCCAATCTACAGTCCTGAACAGAGCGGGGGAAGACGCGGACCAAACCCAAGATCAGGAAAAGGTCGTGCTGACTGCTGACCTTCAGATGAAGGTCCTTGTCACTCCTCAGGCCTTAAAGACGGAATTCATCCCCAGGGATCCGTGTCAGCCTAACAAGAGACGGGTCTCAAGGCTGAACAGTAACTTCAGGGGGATACACATCCCTTCGCACAATCAACAACTTGAGATCAAAGCTCAGAACTGACGACGGAAGAAGGAGAACATGAAAGGTAAAGGGGTGGGGGGAGTGGAAAGGGAGCAACGGGTGTCCCCAAGGGAAATGTGACTGACCTGCTGAATGGAAAGCCAATTTGCTCTGTAAACTTTCACTCAACTCATCATACAAAGTTTTACATCTGCTTTCTTTTCTATTTCCCAGCCTGTTCCGCAAAAATAATGGCTGCGTCCAGACCCTGACAGGTTTTAGGGGAAAGGACGCCAAACAGAAAGGGATAAAGGTGCTTTTCCTGACGGGAAAATGCAAAACAGAATAAAATGCAGAGCCGCACGCATAAACATTTTCTGTGGATTGGAGAAAAAATAATTCCATGTGTTTATTTCTTTAATTCTTTTAAAAAATATATCTTTAATTCTTAGTTGTCATGTTTGTACTCTCTTTTCATATTGTTGAAATGGAAAGATGTTCTAAATCCATGTGAGATAAGCTGTAGCAGTGTCCAGTGAGCAATCCTTCCTTGGAATCATGGCTTCCTGCCCTTGGCAATTCCACAGAGTGAACCGAGCTTTCGTTAATAAAGTACCAATCAAATGGAAGTGTTAGTACACTCATTCCAAAGAATCCTCACTGCCGTCGAGTCAGGTCTGACTAATGGTGACCCTAGAGGACACTGCAGAACTGTCCTTGTGAGCTCCTGGGACTGGAACTCTTTATGGGAGTAGAAAGCCTCAACTTGCTCCCGCTGAGCATTTGGTGGTTCTGAACTGCCAACCACGGGGTTGGCAGCCCAACTCGTAACCCACTACACCATCAGGCTCCTCGTACACTCATAGGACTGAAATATTTTCCCTGTTCAATGGTAATATGGGAGGAGAGCTTCAAGGAGTCCGTGGAAAATTTTTAGTTTCTTTTAATTCTATTTTCCAAACACTGGTTGGAGCTACCTCATGTGTGAGTGACCCCTGCAAACCCCTTTGACAAGAAACAGGTTCCTGGAATTGACGAATTTGGGAATCACTGAACAGGGTTGGGCAGTCTGGTCAGGGGGGAGCTTTGGACAGAACCCCACCTATGGTCTCATTTTTTCCGCTGCAGGCACACCTCAGGTGATTGTGCCTCCCTTTGTTGCTCTCCATGTATTGTGGAAGTTTTCTGTTTTCTGTTGTTTTGTTTTGTTTTAACGGAGCGAAGACCTGCGGTAACCCACTGTGAAATGAGTCTGCGACTGCCGTTTTCCCAACCATCTGTGCTCACGTCCTTGTCTCAGGGTCACATTAAAAAAAAAATCTTATTAATCATTTTATTGGGGGGCTCTTACAAATCTTATAACAATCCATCATTTAATTGTATTAAGAACATTTGTACATATGTTGCCATCAAAATATTTTCTTTCTACTTGAGCCCGTGGTATCAGCTCTTCTTTTTGTCCCTCCCTCCCTCCCCCTCCCTCTCTCGTGAATCCTTCATCAATTATAGATCACTATTGTTATTTCGTGTCTTATACGTCTGCTGTCGCCCTTTACCCACATTTCTGTTATTAATCCTCCTGGGGGGTGGGCTATATAGTCACCCTTGTGATTGGGTCCCCCTCCCCCCCACCGCTATCCCACCATCTCCCTACCCTCATGATATCCCACTACTGTTCCTGAGGGGTTTAAGCTGTCCTGAATTCCATGTGTCCAGAGCTCTTCTCTGTACCATTGTGTATACTCCGGTCTATGTGGATTTGTAAGGTAGATCTGGGTCATGGCAGTGGGTGGGTGGGGGGGTGCATTCAGGAACCCGAGAGTTGATGTGTGTTTTGCCGGTGCTATATGGACCCTGGTTGAATCGTCCCTTCTTTATAACCTTTCCATGGGGGGGATATCCAAATTGTTTACAGATGGGCTTTGGGTCTGGGTCCCATTTTGAGAAATCCCACAGTATTTCAAACTCTGTCAGCATGATATTGCACATTAATAGACTAGAGGGCAGGGAAGACATAACTTCCCTGCGTCCTGGCAAACCAAAAGGAAGCTGTGTAGAGGTGGCTTGGTTTCAAGACTTGTTCCATTGCAGTGGTCCGGCAGACCTGCTATCTCCGAGAGATGCTTGTACATTTGACAGCCGGTCAGTTTTTGCTCCGATCCAAAGTAACACTGACACTGGACTCACGTTCACTGCCTCCTCCAGGGACTTCTTTGGAGCTAACACTCCAAGTCCAGCCCCAGAGCAAGGGGGAAGACGAATGCTGGAAATGCAGCTTCATCCCGAATTTTCACATCCTAGCTTCTCCAGATTGCAAGTGTCCGGTGTTCGACGAGCTGTCGTGGTGTGAGCTGGCTGCGCAGCGTGGCCATCCCAGAGCTCTCAAAGCAGGGCCCCTCAGAGGTCAGGCTGCAGAATGACCTGCCAACACTTGGCTTGGCTGAACACTTGCAGCTTTTGTTTCCCTTGGATCATCATACGAGTGTGCAATCTGAATATCAATTATTTGGACAAATCGAAGACACGGCCCTGAACAAAAGTCAAATCCCAGAAGGAATTTTCCAGAGGTTAACACACTACTTTGGAAACATTTACTGCTATTGTGTTCCAAGTATACATCTCCCGGGGAGCCCTGGTGGCACAAAACGGAGCACCCAGCTGTTAACAGGAAGGTCAGTGGTTCTAATGTACCAGCCACGTTCTGAGACAAACCAGGTGGCCTGCTGCCCCGCAGATGCCAGCCTGGGAAACTGTGCAGGGCGGTTCTCCTTTGCCCTCTAGGGTGGTGACGAGGGGAGTCGCGCCGTGGCAAACAGCAATAGCAACAACAGCAGCAATAACAGCAACAAACATATCTTTAAGAGAAAGTTCAAAGCCATTCTATAAGATTAAACACGACTGCTACGAAAACACAGAAATCTCTGTTAAACGAAAATATCAGACTGGGAAGTCACTGTTTCTTGAAATGACCCAGGTCCACCCAGGTCTATATCCTTTGGCCTGCAGTGTTTCCACCTCTCTTAACACTTCCCCCAAAGAATTCTGCACTCTTTGATTTGTGTCACATTAAAAATGGCAACATTGTGTTCCTTTTACATGTTCCTTGAGTTTAGGGAACTGAAACAAACCAGGGGTAGGATCTGGGGTTGGATGGGATAAGGCTGGATGGGATAAGGTTGGATGGAATAAAGTTTCCCAATGAAATGTTCATAGGACAACCCTTGTGGTCTTTGAAGAACAAGCAGAGCGACTATCATGATGGGAACAATTCCTCGGCACAGCTTCCCTGGTGTTCTTCTCACCATTGTGGCTCTCCATTTTCTTCAAGCTTCTTCATGATAAGCCCCATCCTGTGCCCTTTGGGGAAACCTCTCAAGATTACCCCCTTTGACCAGTGGGGTCTTAAAAGCTGATGAGGAGCCAATTAAGGCACGACTCTCAGTCTGGTCCTGTCTAGAGGGCAGGAACAGATGAACTAATAGGCCGTTCAAACATCAGTGTCTACAAAACCCGTAGCTGGATGGTGCCCAGCTACCACCACCCGCTGCTCGGAAAGGGGCCACATGAGAAGGTCCTGGATTGAGTGGGAGGAAACTATGGAACAAAACTCAAAATCATAAAATAGACTAAGCTTCCTGGTCAGATAGAAACTGATGGAACTCCCGGGATTATGGGTCTTGGTCACCTTTTAGGCGTGGAATGGTACTCACTCCGGTGGCTCCAACTTCAGCAAAACAATAGACAGGTCTGCAAGGGAATGAGGCAGGCACACCTTAGAATAGACAACCAGTTGAGACATTTTTTTTAAAGGCAGAATTTACTTCAGGACAAAGTTCAGAAAGGCTAGGAAAGAACGCAGGATGGAAAGAGGGAAGAAGCAGGACAGGCGATGTTCATTGAGGGGCTTGCAATGTATGAAATGAAATAAAAATGGGTATGAATTATTGAATATAAATTGAGTGATTTGCTCTGTAAACTTTCACCCAACTCACAGTTAAAAAAAAAAAGGGGGGTACTCCTTGGGGGTCCTCAGCAAACAGTCATCATCATTTTCTGGGCTGACCTCTCTGCCTTGAATTTACCTAACCCAGCAGATCCCCTCAGAAGCCGGAAGCCACGGTTTATATGGTATCTTTTTAATGAAAGCGCCTAATGAGACTAAGATAGTTAT